TTCCTGTTTGTTGTTGTTGTTGCTACTACTGCTACTATTAAGAAGAAGAATATGAGAAATAAAATTAAATATAAAAATTTGAAATGACTGAAAAATAAAAGAATTCAACCATAAAAGAAGCAGCCGCATGGTGAATAAAAAAATCATTAAAATATGTTTAGTTCAAAAACTAAAATCATATGCCATCATTATGTCAATGTATTTCTTAGTATTAATACTAAAATCACAAAAATAAATCCTATGGTATAACTATAATCTTATGTGGTATAACTTATTACTATTGTTACATTATCATTATTATTATTATTAGTAGTAGTAGTAGTAGTAGTGGTAATAAGTAGTAGTTCCCAACAAACAGGAACCTTTAAGTAACCTACAAGGGTTGTCCCTGGCTGTTAGTTTTTGTAGAATTATTTTTTTTAGAAGTTGCAGTTAGTTGTACACACATGTCTGAAAACAGAAACCTTCAAAACCTTCCCTTAAGTTTTCTCTTTTCTAACTACTACTATTACTATTACAATGACTGATGAACTTCTTGATCTATTTAAATGAAACATCAGTAGTATTATAATAATGAAACAGCATCATTGGCATCAAAGATGTGTTTAAACAGCATTTATCTAATAGAATAATCATAATCACAATAAATAAGTATTTTATTTTGCATTTTACACCATTTGATTATGGTGAAAAAAACATAATTCAAATGAATTATTATATTAAACATTTGCTGCTAATCATTAAAATAGTAATAATAGTGACATCACTTAGACGAGTAGAATTTTTGGTATAAAATAATAATTGGTGATATTAGACAGACACAAACAAAAACTGCTAATTATTAAAATTATCATAATGGTATTACTTTCTTATAAAGTGCATGAAGGGTTTATAATCTGAATTATTGACTTTATTAAAGGAGTACTCCAGTGACATTAGTGAAAGCTGACTTTTGGCCTCTTGCATGTCAAACTATAACAAACATGCAAAGCCTTCATTTCCCACAATACAACATTCTTCAAACTGATGACATCATCTGGTTTTTCACTTTAGACAGCAGGTTTTGACAGGCTGAGAAGAACTAAGCATGATGAGTGCACTGAGTTTGATTTGTAACCTCAGCTGAGTTCCCTTTTTTTTAATCAATACATATGTTTTAATGTTTTATATAATGATTATAAGCCACTGATATGGAAAATTCTTCTTCATCGCATTGTCTCTAAGTTCTCTTAGATTCTCATGACCCCATACTAACATTTTACTGACATTTAGAGAGTAAAAAACTCCACATAGAATTATGAAAAACAAACAAACAGTTCATATACCAATATATTTTAATGAAACTGATGTATCATAGTCATTATTTAAACAACAGGACAAGATTTTCAACTTTAAAACGTATTTAAACAACTTCCACCACCTTTGCTGGGCTTTTTTTTTGTAGTTTTATGTATAGATATCATATTCATTATAAATGACATAAAATAGACTGGAGTCTGTGTTTGGCTGTTCTAGGTAACTTTACAAATTTCACTGATATACTACGTACAACAACCAAGGTACCGTTACGCTAAACTATTTCCTTTCCGGTTATTACTTTCATAGTAAAACCAGGAAGAAAAAAAAGTATGTTTTGGCAACTCCTTCATCTATTAACAATCGTGAGACAAATAGGTAATGCATATTATTTACAATGGGCTACGTTAGGTTTTGGTTTAACGTCAACAAGCTATATTATATAAAGACTCTTAATTCTAGTGAGCTGTTTACAACAAGTGGTAAAGCCCAAAACATTTATTTCCAGTCACATTTTGACTGGACTTCAGAATAAAAGCCTAAAAGTACGCTGTATAAAAAACTTTGGTGTCTAAGTGATTTTTGAGGTCACTAACCGTTAAGCAACGTAGAGCTTAATAATAAAGACACGTTAAGATTTAAGTAACAAAAAAGTCATATAGTTTTTGAAACATATTTGTAGTTTAAAGTTTTATATATATATATGTTGCACATCCAATGATCCAATGCTTGCAGAATTCCAACTAAAAAAAGTTAGAGTGATAGAGAACAAATTGTTTGTCTTAAGGATGGTTTAACTCTAATCAATATTGTTTGTTTAGGCAGATGATAGGCAAATAATACCACAAAGGAAAAAACAGTAGCCTGCTTCCTGACAGGTAAAAGTCCTGCATCTAAATTTATATTTCAAACTTATTTTTGGAGTTATAGAGAAGCTCTCGAGTTGCCGTACCACATACAAACTTTTAGAAAGGCCCGTTGGAGAGGGTTTGGATGCTGTTTATGATATATTTTATTTTTATAACCTTTATTTAATCAGGAGGGTCCCTGAGAATAAGATATCTATTTTAAAGGGAGACCTGGCCAAGGAGGCAAAACTTTATACAGTTACAAAAGAAGACAGCGTTTGAGAAAACACATTAGATCAACCAATGGACTGAGATTGCAAAGTAAAACCCAGTTTAGAAGCAGCAGTTGCACTCTTTGGTTACACATCAGGCTTTGACCTCTCCCCGTGAGACAAAATCATGATGCTGTAGTGTTTTCTGAAGGTTATTTCATGACCAGGGAGCAAAATAACAGAAACTCAACAAGTTCAGAGCAAATTAGCGCCACCCTCTATGGCAGTATTGCTTTGTAGATGAAAAAAAAATTGACAGTGTTTCTGTCTGCTGTGGCTTATAATTAGGTTATTATCATTATCAAAGTATTATGCAAGTGGTTGAGGACGATCTATCAGTTTAATAAGATTATTAATAGGATAATGGGTGGTTCTGTAAGAAAAAACATGTCTGGAAAACATCCCTTTTAAATAACAGAGTCAGAGTGGCACAAATGGAATACAAATATCTCACATACATACATAAGTAAACTATTTGAAGAAATGTGGGTTACATGGGTAATTTACTGCAGTGCATGCTATAATTAGTTGGTTTACAGTGGTCACACACTGCTGCACTGTTTTTGCGTCCTAGATCCCCCAACCACATGAATAGTTTTACTCTGAAGACCGTGTCAGTGACACAGCGGAAAATGAAGTGAGTGAGAGTGTATGTTGCTCCAGAGAACTCTATCAAACACAGAGGCAACAGACCTCCTTCCTCCTCTTTTGCTATCGCAAGCCACCGGATGGTTTCGTCTTATTTTTGCGGAAGTGATGCTATTTTCCAAGCAGTTACATTATGTAAATTGTATTGCACAATCGTGAACGCCTGGCTGGGTGTCATGTGGCACAGAGAGTGGACCTAATCAGTCAGGATGATGTGTTGCATGTCAGGGATCGATTGAAATAAGTGATTAGTTAAGACGTTATCTCACACTACTACAGATCATGGGTTTGCAAGGACAAAACTGATGGGAAGCAACAATAGAAGTCTGCCTGCTACTTTTTTATTACGTCTCTTTTGAGAACAATAGTTTCAATGCATCATTTTTGGACAAATATGTCGCTTTTTGCACATTTGGGTGTGGGAAAGAAAGACAAAGTATAGCCATCTTAGAGCTGCAGGGTGTGTGAGTGCGTGTGCGCGCATGTCAATCCCTTGCAGCCACTATTCAGCTAAACCTGTTTTCCTTCACATCGTTTCGCAGAAAGGGCTGTCTTTATTTGGTCATCACATGAAAAGCACAGTGCCAGAGAGCAGCTTCTGTGTACCTTGGGTGCATTCCTGGGTTAATATCTCACCGCGTGTTTTTTCTATGTGATATTGTCTATCTTCTCCCCCTATAGTCTTCAAGGGTTGTCTTTCACAGTAGCCCACGCCCGTGCATAGGATGAAGTTGATTATGTAATCAGCTCTCAGGGCAGACACACACTCGGGGCCCATTCCTGAATGATCTCACTACAAATAAACGCAACGACGCTCCGAAAAAACGGCGCATCGCCACATATGTTGTATTCTTTAACACACAATTGTATGTAGAGAATATTTTCCTTGCATTCCTGCCTCTCGGGCGAGCGGGCATGCGCAGGAGACGCTCAGCTTTGGCCTTATTTGGATATGGTAATGAGCGGCTTCGAAGGTCCAATCAGAGGCGGGGGTTTGTGCATGTGACCGTGAAAGACCGCTTGGGGGGCGGGGCCAGGCGCGGAGCTTAGGTTAAAAGCGCTGGACAAGACACAGCGCATTCAGTGTAGGGAGAAGCAGGGACTCACTGTGAGGGGGAACTTTGTTACTATGAAACTTAGGAATATTTACAAAATATTGTAAAAATTACCAAAATCCCTCGTGAATCCATAACCTGCCCCTAGGGTTTGAGGTTTTTAGTTTAGTTCGCCCGGAAAGGGCTTCTACACTCACTATTCTTACACTTTTTTGAAAGAATGTGTGAGACAGACAGTTAGCCAGCTAGCTAGCTAGCTGAGAGGTGATAGAGGCGGCAGGAGAACAAAAGATTTTTTTGCGTTTTGGCCGGTTGTACTGACACCAAGTCCATGCAGAACGTGTCATTACCATCACAATGCCCGTTTTACTTTTTCTGATAGACACGTCCGCTTCAATGAACCAGCGCACCCATCTGGGCACTACCTATCTGGACATAGCAAAAGGCGCTGTTGAGACTTTTATGAAGGTACTGTAACCACGGGACACATTCATGTTGGGAGACCCCGAGCGGGATTTGCAGTTCACATCATCGTTGTACTGTTGCAAGCCTCGCCTGTCAAACCTGATCTCTCGATAACCGTAAATAATTCTCTACTATTTCCACAGCTCAGAGGGAGAGATCCGGCGAGCCGAGGGGACCGGTATATGTTGGTAAATTTTGAAGACGTTCCGTTCGGGATCAAGGTAGAGTTTGTTTTGTCCGGCTTTACATTGCTGCAGATTGACTGTCCTCCCATCGCTTCCACCACGTTGTGATCACTACATCAATTGTGTAGAGAAAATCTTCAGGAGGAGCTTTCATACCCCTTTTAAAACATGGCCGACATTTTGTTTCAATGTGAGCAGCAAGGAACTCTGGGTGTTATTTATACAGCGAGGTGATATCTGGGGGGAGAAGGAGGAGGAGGTGGTGGAGGAGGAGGAGGAAGAGGAGAGGAGGAGGTGGTGGTGGTGGTGGTGGGTGACAGACTAGCCTACTTTACTTGTTTAGACCAAATTGCCACTTTAACACATTGCGGCTTTTGGACACTTTGTAGTTGTGTGATCCCTGAAGCCGGTAGCTGTAGCCTCTGCTAGAAAACCGGATCAAGGTCCTGCTGCAGCGCTGTCAAATTATTAGTGTGGGCAGTTCCAGAGAGGAAGCGACCTATTTAGATATTTATCAGCTCAGATGCACAATAAAAACACTCAAGTTAACTATTGATTTGTGCACAAGTTGTTGGCTAGAGCTTTGTGCATGCTCTCAACCACATGTTTTTTGTTTTTGTTTTGTTTTGTTTTGTGTAGGCTGGATGGAAGGAGAGCCACGCCACCTTCATGACAGAGCTGAGGAACCTGCAAGCAACCGGACTCACATCTATTGGCCAGTCCTTGAGGACCGCTTTTGATTTACTCAATCTCAATAGATTAGTGACTGGGATAGACAACTATGGACAGGTATGTAGCGCTGAAGAAGGCAGACAGGCAGTTAGGGTTCATAATGACAAAGGTGCTATATGCCCCACCTCCCCCCCCCTCTCTACCAGAGAACCCCCTTCACCCACCTTCACCCCTGCTCCCCTTCTCCCTATCCCCAGTCTTACAAGCATCAACCACCTGCATACTGTGAACCCACACATCTTCAGTCATATGACACAAACATAAGTGGAAAAAAACAAAAAACAGGAGCAACTTTAGTTTTTTTGGCACCTTAGTGACCGTTATTGATTTCATCATTGATCTGGTGCTCTTAAACCCCTTTTCATGCTAATAATTCTAAGCAACTTAAAGCTGCAAATTAGCTTCTAAACAAAACTCTACAAGTACATGATGTATTTACAATGTGAGGATAGCTGTTTATTAGATAAACCTACCTGAAACTAATGCAGTCTGATAGAGCATCTGCTTTAAATCTTTATTATTTTTTAAATAAGGGTTGTAGTGTTTAGCTTTGTTAAAACTTTTCATGCTAATATTTTTAATTCTATACATATAGAAATTGCTAATTAGTGTATTTTCAAGGTGAGGATAGCTGTTTAATTAGCTAAACCTACCTGAAACTAATGCAGTCGGACACAACTGCTCTGCAATAAATACTTCTTTTTTTTTTTACTTTCATCAAACTTTTCATGCTAATATTTTTAATCTATGGTACTAAAAGTTGCAAATTAGTGTATTTACAAGGTGAGGATAGCTGTTTAATTAGCTAAACCTACCTGAAACTAATGCAGTCGGACACAACTGGTTGCAATAAATACTTTTTTTTTTTTTTTTTTTTTAAACTTTCATCAAACTTTTAGCCTAGTATTTTTATGTAACTAAAAGTTGCAAATTAGTGTATTTAGAAGATGAGGATAGCTCTTTAATTAGACAAACCTACCTGTAACTAATGCAGTCGGATACAACAGGTCTGCATTAAATCTTTTTTTGGGGGGGGGTTGGTAATGTTTACTTTTGTTAAAACTTTAATCCACATTTTAACCTAATATTTTTAATCTATGGTACTAAAAGTTGCAAATAAGTGAATTTACAAATTGAGGATAGCTCTTTAATTAGCTAAACCTACGTGAAACTAATGCAGTCGGATACAACAGGTCTGCATTAAATCCGTTTTTCTCTTTATTTTTATTTTTTTATATGGGTTGCAATGTTTAGTTTTGTTGAAACTGTTTTAGAGTGGCGTCATTTCAGCTTAATGGTCAGTCAAGCGGCGCTGCTGGATTTTATTGCATTATGCTGAGAGGTATTTCTAATATTAGTTCACCCTCGTTGACAGGAATGGGTTGGACAAAATATTCAGAACACCTTTTAGTATGTGTATAGCTTTTAAAATGGCTATAAATGCTTCCTTAAAAGACTTTGCACATAATTTTAATGAAGGTAGGATTTATTTCACAGGTGATTATTTAAATTTTATTAGTATTAACCAGACAGACCAAATAAATTGGCACTTAGTGTGGTTTCTAGGCAGCTGGAGGACTTTTTAAACTGTTGCTTTAAGGTCATATTCTCTGCCGTCGTAAACATCTCAAGATGTTTTTTTGTTTTTTTTTTGCGTTTTACCCGATCGTCTGTTATTTTCCTGCTTCTGAGATTTAGACAGCGTGAAGTTCTGCAGCTTTGATTGCTTTTTCCTCTTCAAGTCAGGCAACAAACAGGAGCATCCATTTAACAAGAAAGTCTATGAATTATTAAAATATTCTGTTCACAAGATCGGGAATTTTCAAGGAAAAGCTTTGCAATGCAAGGAGAAAATGAGAAATGTGCTTCAAACTAGAAACCATTTCAGCTTTATCCCGCTGCTCAGTTGCAATTTGTGAATCTGAAGCAAGTCTCTCGGCCTGATTCGCAGCCGTAAGATCATCTCAAATATTCGGTGAACCCACAAAGTCTGGAACTAATACAGTGCTGCTGGCCCGGCTCCAACAAGTGCCGCCTAATGACATCACCAATTTAAGCCCCATTTTCAGTTGCTGAAAGTGAAGCTGTGTGAGAGAAGGTACAATAAATAGAATCTGTGAGGACTGTGTTTACAGTGTTAGAGTGCTACTCTTATGTCAGGCTAATAACTTATTTGCAACAGATGTCAAAGTCTTGATTTAATGCCATTAGAAAGAGAACAACAACAACAACAGAAAGCAGCTTGCAGGAGATGCAACACTTCAAGATTTTCTTTGCTCCTGGTTAAACTGAGGTGCAGGTTTATTATCCCGGCAGCAGAATAGACATTATTAATGTCCAGGACATACTTGCTTTGACTGCAAGGTGAGTCTTGAGGTTGTTGCAGAATCTGGACGTCTGTTTTCCAGTGCGGTGGTAAGTGGGGAGGATGGAAGCAATAATGAATGTTGAACTAGCATTTCCTGAGTAATAAATGGAGGATCCCTACCACCCGGGGTAATGCATACATACAGCATACATAATGCATGTCAGACACTCCCGGGGAGTTTGAATGTCAAATACCAGCAACGCCGTCAGACTGGTTGATACGCGCACACACACACACACACACACGCCTGTGAACACAAACAGTGGAGATCAAGGTTACTGTGTCCCGCACCGGTTACTGGTGACCTCTAATGACAGGTTGATCTGACAATAATTATAATTTAATGACCAGTTCTCTCTCCTCTGACCTTTCACAACTGGAGCAGGTCGGTTTCTGAACAGATGGCACACTCCCATTACAATCACTAGCAACCAGTGTATTTTGCCTGTGCCCTTTACAAAAGAAGTTCGATAGTGGACATTATTAGAGGGCTGTAGATAAGACTTGTTTTGTTTTTACTACTTTGAAAAATCTGCTTTTATTCTTAAAAACAAGGTGTGCATCTATCTCTTCTAGCCCATCGTGACTGCTTCAAATAACCTAATCTGTCCGGTCACCACCCAAAGAGATTCTAGTTTACAGCCACTGACATGAAAGAAGCCTAACTGAGAAGCCAGTGACATTAATTGTAGAAATCATAGCGAGCTGTTTTCTGTTGTTGTCTTTTTAGTTGCTCTTTCCTTTAAGTGAAGCTTATCAAGTTTCCTAGAGGAGTGGGACAGGCACCTATACAACAGTTTATTAGCAGTGTATGTGCTTAGAATAAAACAATCCAGTGTATGTCCTCTTTCTATCAGTACCGTTGATTGTTTGATTAAAATATTTCACAGGGCGCAGATATAAGCGACGAGCCTAATTTCCTCTGAACGTGTACATTTCAAGTTCAAGGCTGTTCAGATGAATCTCTTCTCTTTGAGCCGCCAGGTTTCATCAGCGCTCTGATGACTGCAAACCGTCTGTTGTGTGTGTTTTTCAATCTCGCTTTGCTCCGACGGCTGTAAATCAGAGTCCAACCAAAGCGACGTGGTAGCTTGTGTTTGTATTCAAAGTGCCTCGTTGTTATAACTCGGCACCGTTCGCTTGTCTTTCCAAGTTTTAACTGGCGAGGAAGAGTCGGCTTTGATTTGTCATCCCCGCGCTCCCGAGTGCTTAAGGTGTAAGACGTTCAGTGGGTTAAAGAGGGGGGAAGTCAAAGGGGACTGAGCCTGTGGGGGAGTTAATATTGCCCTGGAGTGCTTCTGTCTACAGTAACAAAGAGCCCTCCAGGTTGCCAGGCATCTGAGGCGACTCTCCCCTGAGAGATGAAGAGGGGTATGGAGGTAGAGGGGGGGAGGCAGCCAGCGGGTAATCCTGACACTGATCACAGTTTCATTAAGAGAGCGGTGAAAGAGCAGAAGTAAGGGAGGACGGGAAGGAATGAGCATTAAGGAAATGATATGACTGGTGATGTTTGAGTTAATAGAATCGTGATGGCCATCATCTTGTCGCTGTCTCAGATGGATTGGCCTGCATAGGCAAGTTTACACATGGTTAAGACTGGAAATAGCTAATATGTCATCATCAGTCAATGCATCATGTGTTGATTAACCAGCTAATCATTTGGTCTTTAACATGTCAGAAAACAAAGACAGAATTTCCTCAAGCAGCAGGAGATGTAATCAGCTTGTTTTGTCCGTCAAATGACCCCAGATCTCATTAGGAAGCGATGGGAAACATGTAGCCACATCTGAGAAGCTGGAACCAGCCAGTGCCTTTGCTTCAAATGTAGTGATTGATGATAAGAACATTACACTGGTTTCCTAGGCTGTCGTATGTAGCCTGCTGTTCTGTCATTTCCATCTTGTGGGAATCTAAAATCTAATTTTAATGGCTCTGTTTGGATTTTTTTTTTTTTAGCTTCATCATGACCAAAACATACCAGCATAGCAACAGTAAAAGCTAAGGAAGCTTATGTGACGTGGATAAACTCATCTCTCACGTTTTATCTGTCTAATGATCTTAAATCTAAAGGTATTCAATTTACTGTGTCATAAGGAAGAGATAAGCTGGAACCTGCCGGTGGTTTTGCTCAAAATGATGAGATGTGATTATTAGAATTTGGCAGTGGTACTTTTAGATTGCTGCTCTGTATCATCCATCTCTAGTAATGAGCAAAAATCTCATTTTAATAACTGCGCTTGGATTTTTTTTTTCTTAGCTTTATCATGACCAAAACATAACAGTAAAAGCAAAAGGAGCTGATGTGATACGGATGAAATTCTCCCTCAAGATTTTTGCCCGTCAAATGACCTCATATGTAAAGCTGTTTGATCTACTGTTAATTTACTGTCTCCTTAGGAGGCGATAAGAAGGAAGTAAGCACATTCGAGGAGCTGCAGCCGGCCAGAGTTTTTGCTTAAAAATAGCTAAATGTGATTATTGATCATGAGAATACTTGGCGGTTGTTCCAGCAGCCTCTTGTTTTATATCATCCATCTCTTGTGATGACCCAAAATCTAATTTTTAATAGCTGTGTTTTGCGTTTTTTTTTTATTTTTTAGCTTCATCATGACCAAAAACATAACAGCATAGCAACAGTAGATGATACGGGAGCTGGTGTGACGCCAATTAAACTATAACTTAGGTTTTTTTTCTGTCAAATTTCCCAAAATCTAAAGTTAATTAATTTAATGTCTCATAAGGGAAAAAAAATTAAAAGCAAGTAACCCCATTTGAGAAGCCAGAGCCAGTGTCTTTGCTTAATGTGGTTATTGATTAGGGAAATACTTGGCCATTCCACTGGTAGCCTGCTGTTCTGCATCATCCATCTCTTGTCATGACCCACAATCTAATTTTAATCGCTGTGTTCGGCTTATTTAAGCTTCATTAGGGCCAAAACAAAACGGCATAGCAACAGTAAAAGCTAAGGGATCTTATGTGACGCGGATGAAATTATCACTCACGTTAGCTTAATCAACAATTCATTAGCATGCTGAGAAAGTGTCCAGAGTCATAAAGGGATTTTGGGGAAAGAGTAAAAAAAAAAAAAATTGCCTGGTTGTCATGGATACCTCCAGTACAGCAGATCTTGGTAGTATCCTGCTCTGTTTACTTTGGGCTGTTTGTGTAACTGGACAGATCCATCATTCAGCAGAAAGCACAGCCTACAGGTAGAGTCCAAACGGAGCAGGTCCATTAATAATCGCCATCTGAACAGGACGGCCTTTATGAAGCCTGTACGACTCTTCTGCAGTGAGGTCCGGCCTGCCGACTGGTAACTGACAGGACTTGTCGGGATGCGTTGAGGTTTTCCACTCAACCCGGTTATTCGGTGGAGATCCCACAAGGCCTGATGCGAAGTGATAAATGCAGCGCGGCTCCAGTTTCATTTTATCAGCGTGGAGTGCTGATGTCGTGAAATATACTGTGGGGCTCTAGTAGAAAAGAGGTTTCATGTAGCTCCTCAGGTAATATTCTCTGCAAAGTGGAGGATGGACTGAGCATATACTGCGGATATACACACCGAGTTATGGATGCAGTCACTAAAGACTCTTACTGTTTATATTTATTATTCCCTGGAGTTTCTGTATCACACCCACTCACTTAAATAGGCCCCCTGTAAGTTATCTGTGTAATGATGTATTGTCTGCGTCTATTTATGCCCGAGATGCCCAAGTGCCATAAATAATTACATGCTAAGTACCAGTATTCATTCTGCTCCTGTCACTATTTTTAGTGCGGACACTGGTGTTATTTGTTTATAGCTTCTACGTCACTTCAAATTTTAGTTTCACTGAAGCACATGACTTCCATTGTTTAGTTTTTAATTTGATCGTTGTTAATAGTGGGTTTTTTTTGCCTCTCTTTGCAGGGAAGGAATCCGTTTTTCCTCGAGCCCGCCATCATAATCGCAATCACCGACGGCAACAAGTTGACCAGCGGAGGCGGCGTCCAAGACGAGGTCAGCCACCGTTTCCACAGAGACGAGGGGTCACAGCCGCAATGTTCACTTTCACACAAGCATCCGTTACTTTATCAAACCTTTTCTTAGGAGGCCAAAGTTTGAACTGTGCTGTTTTAAATACCATTTATTAGTGAGGGTTAGAATCAGCCCGTTAATGAAAAAGGTAAAGCTGTCCTGCTGTATTTTCTACTTACAGCATCACATTTAACCCACATTACTCTAAACTACCACAAACTTAAATGTCATTGTCTTAGAAGGTGGAAACTAATGCTGGTCTAACTTTTTATTTATTTATTATTATTTTATTTTTCCCAGTTTATCCATAAATTGCAAGAAAAATCCTCACAGCTTCCCAAAGCCCCAGCTGACAAATCCCTTATGCTTTTTAATGTAAACAACGGGGGAAGAAATGTGAGAATACCAGCAAATAATCACTTTTGAGCGGCAGCACCTAGTGAATGTTTTCCAGAGTGAATTTTTAAATCATTAGTTTTGTCAGTCCGACAGTCCACAACCCTGAGGTGTCCAGTCTGATGGTGATTTATACGAGACATTTTTGAGAAACTGCATCAAGTAAAGGGTATATTTGTTTGAAGCATTTAATCAAGTTTCCATAATTAATTATATAAGGAGCTGCACATTCATTGCAGTCATTTCAGCTCTAATACAGCTGCAAAGGTTAGTTTTGTGAGATGATTCCTCAGTAATTCCCGCTTTAATCTGCTTATTTCTCTCTCTGACTCTATAAGTTGTCATCTCCTGTTCATCTTCTGCTCATATTTGATATTTCTGCTGCTCCTCCCTGTGAGATGGAGATGACTCCATTAAGCCGCGTAGTCAGTTTCAGTCAGACACACAATTACATCTGTAGTTCTGCAGCCGCAATGTAATTTGCAGCTTCCGTGATAATGCCAGGCCTGTGCCTGTTCACATTAGGCACAAGCTACCAAGTAATGAGAAAGTTTGACTCTGAAATTTTTATGACATCATTTAAATTTTCGGGCTGCTTAACAAATGTCTGGAAAGAAAATTGATGAGAAAGTCGAGTCCTCAAATACTGACCTTGGCTCTGCAGGTTGTGTGTTGTTTTCAAATATAAGACAACTGAGGATGGAGAAAAAAATACAATCGTCTTTCACAGTTTAGATCATGTTTTTTATCATAGTAGTAGCATTTTTGTAGGTAGTGCATTTTGTGCACATTGAACGGAGAAATGTGCAGAAAATTAGTATGATAACCTAATAGGAATGTTTTAATAAATTAAGGCTTATTCTCTCCTACAATAGTTTAAAATGTAAAAGAGGAAACTCTGTTGGTAAGAAGGACACAGGCAACACTCTTTCAACATATTTCTGTCATCCTTTGATTTTTCAACTTGTGCAGCTCCATCTGCCTCTGACCACCCCGCTGCCGGGTAGCGAGCTGACCAAGGAGCCCTTCCGATGGGACCAGCGTCTGTTCGCTCTAGTGCTGCGTATCCCCGGCAACACTTCGGTGGAGCCCGAACCCCTCGGTGGCGTCCCGCCCGACGATTCTCCCATCACCCCCATGTGTGAGGTCACCGGAGGTAGGTGAACGGAGTTGTGTCTGTGTGCACTGCTTAATGAGTGACACTCTGTGATTCGTACAAATAAAGATCAGCTTACTTCTTATGAACAACACTTCTCAGCCAGTTTAATGTCTTCTGCAGCTTTAGAGGAGCTTTTGAGTTTTGAGAAAGCATCTTAAGATGGGCTTCAGACTTGTACAGATTGTGACAGAAAACCTGCTTTATAAACTGAGGAAATGGACTTTGAAAGACGAGGGCGGTTAACAGGAAGGGAGGTTTTTATGGAAGTTACTGCTGAGTTGCATTATGGGAATTGTAGGCTCTGGTGTTTTTGGTGCTTGACAAACAACCTCCCGCTCAGACTCTGACTCACCACATCCCTCACACAACTCCAGACTTTATGAAAGCACTCCGTTGCCTCTATGAGTTTATGACTTAGTGTCACTAAATAAAGAAGTAATATTTTTAAGTTAGGAATGACAAAACATTGCATTATACATGCAAATCAGCCCAGCCCACATGGCACTATAAATAAATCATTTAGCATGTTGCACATACTTGCATTTTAAAGGATGTTGTAAACAGCCCAAAAGTTACGTAAACCTCTTCAGTTTCTGCTTAATTATATTAAATTCTAAACTGCAGGATGAAAACGGACCAAGTTGTCGATTTTCCTTCTCATCCCAACCTTTCAGATAGTTTGTTTAAACTTAAAAGCTTCAAAATTAAACGGTGATTCCACGTATTTCATCAGCTGTACACCCAAATCTTTAAGTTACATGTTATTATTGTCAAATTATCATGATTTGTTTTTGCGCTGTGCCACCAATGGCTTGCAAATGAATGTCATTATAACCTTAGTTTGGAAAAACATCATAGGCATTTTCCTCTGGGGAGTTACACAAGTCTAAATGCTACAGCAGAGCCGGTGGAACACGCCGGGACAAGCTCAAAGTATTTATAACACCAGATCAAAATAGCTGTTTGTTAAATGCATTCTCTAACACAGCTGATGAATCATCTCTGTCAATACAAAGAAAGGGAAGAGTAATGAGTTTGGTTTATTGGGGGGAGTTTTGTTGCTTTTTTTTTTGTTGTTGATAGAGACAGAGATTTCCTTGGCAGCTGTTTTTCACTTCAGTGAGGGGCTGCCTCGAGCTCTGTCTCAGCGTCGTCTTGCTCAACACTCAGAGTTGTGTTTACAGGTTTGCCAGTGGGATCTGAAACAACCCAGTACAAATACAGTGTGCTCTTGGTTCCAGCCACTGAGCTGCTCTTCTGGAGCTGTCGTGGAAGGGGGATGAGCGCTTTATTCAAGTGGACTTAGGTAGTAATTGTTGATTAAGGTTCGAAAGACCGGATTTTCCCACCTGGTCCAGGATTGGGGCTGCTATTGTCTCGCTTAAAGGCCTGTCAAGACGCTTTCTGTCCAGCGATTTTGATCTGTAATCCCCCCCCCGGCTGTAGCATAAGCCAAAACCCTGGCTGCCTACCTACCAGTTTTAAGGAAGCAGTAGCCTGTTATCCCTCCTGTCTCCTGGATGTTGAAGCAGCTGGCAGGAGGAACACACTAGAATGATGCTGATGGCAGGTTAAGATTAACACATGCACACACATAGAGAACAGAGCTCACCAAAGCTCTGTGTCGCAGTCACTGGTGCTGAATGCAGAACATGACACAGCTCCATTGTCAGTGACAGTCTACAGTACATGCTGCCTGTCCATTACTGCTGATGGCAGACCTGACACAAAGCCGTGGCCTATTGAAATGAGCGAGTGAATGGGTGCATGACAAGGTCACTGGAGGTGAAGTTGGAGGCAGTGAATGGACAAAAGGCTGAATTAGACTCATCAGCTGTAGCCTCGTAAGAACAAATGTGACTAAATTGTGATCTTTCCTCATGTCGTCGACGTTGTGGCAAATGAGCTAAAGCACATTGAGAGCTTTCAGAGGCACATATCATGCAAATGTAGCATTTACATCTAGCGTAAAGGACTGACGCAGCTCCATGAAGATGAGATTAGTGTGAAGAGAGAGCACTTGGAAATGCACAGCACCTATAATCACGCGCTGCTCCGTGCTGTACCGTACTTTTAAATAGTATAATGCACTCGTCTTTTTCAGAAAATCCTAACTTGAGTCTGTTTGATTCCTCAGAGATTCACATAAATACCAAGGTGCCCCTAACAATTTATCCTTTGGTTCTATTTTCTTTTTTATTCTGTAATCAAGCAGCTCATGCAAACATTACATTTTCAGATCCTTTTTTTCTACACTGTAATTACTCAGTTTCCACAATACAGACATTTTACACATCATGAAACCCGTCAAGGAGCCACAGCTTACACGTAAAAGTTCATGCAAATGTGCATGTAGACACTGAGTTATAGTCATTTGAGTTTTGCTACTTTTTAAGACGTTTACTTAAAACTTTACTAATCAGCAGAATTCTAGTACTTCTCTGTAGCTTCATGGATTCTTCCAGCCTCTTCTGGCTCTTTTGTTTTATTTTTTATGGCTGTGTGATTCAGTCTCAACCTCTTCCCAGCAGGCAGCTGTTATCAGCAAACAAGCTCTGATAAACCAGTGGTATACTACCAGCTCGGCACCAAACTGCAGACAGATGAAAATTAAAGACTAGCTGCTGAAGATGGTGGAACATTTACAGCGAGATATCCGCAGTGTGTGGTGGAAACCTGAACAGGTGTAAGAAGAGAGCAAATATTTAATTAGCATTGATCAAGTGGACGCAAAGTTGAAATGAATGAGTGAACTTCTGGTGCCTGTCAAAATAGGCCACATACCTGACAGAAGGTGAAAGCGTGAGTGTTTTCAGCTTGTTTCTGCTGCCCCTAAGTGGCCAAAAAAATCAGTTAATGCAGATTTAAAACTGCTAAAAATAGATTAGAAAGGATCCACAAGTGTGTGCATATTTAATTCAACTTAATCCAATAACACCGTGTTGAGCTTATACTTACTTTGTTTTGGGTTTTTTTAACGTTTATGTGTCTGTCTGTTGCAGGACGTTCCTACAGCGTTTTCTCTCAGCGTATGTTGAATCAGTGTCTGGAGTCTCTGGTGCAGAAAATCCAGAGTGGAGTGGTGATAAACTTTGAGAAGACGGGGCCTGACCCTCCTCCACTGGAGGGTAAGAGACACCTCTGTTTGTTTGTGTAAAATTTATTCATGACTTTATCTCTTAAAAGACCTTTTTGACATCTGCTGCACTGCGTCTGTTTGATTAGTAGTGGAGCTCTTTGCTCTCTCCCACTCGCTGTTTGTTTTAATAATCCTCTCTGAGCGTTTCTTTACTGTTGTTCATAAACAGCTGCTGGATGCCACTGTTTAAACCCCCCCGCTTTCATATTTAACTGCTGACACATTTATCAAAACCATTTTGTTTTGTTTTATATCTCATAAATGCCCTCGGGTCGGAGTTGCTGGTTGTTGTTTCACCTGCGAGATCTTCTGTTTGTTGCTGCGCAGATGCTCCAGCCGAGGCGTTGAAGTCCGGTCCACAGCCTTGGCATTGCTCTCACAAGCTGATCTATGTACGACCCAACCCGAAAACCGGCGTCCCCATCGGCCACTGGCCCATCCCCGAGGCCTTCTGGCCAGACCAGAACTCCCCAACTCTGGTAAGGAAATTGTGGAGGAATCAACATATAAAGTTCACAAGAGAACGTTTGTGTGGCTTTTGACATCATATAAGGCCTCTGTGTTACTTCTTGTGTTCACATTTTGGACATTTAGCAGAACTCTACAGCTTTATTTCTATTTATTCGTAAATAATAGAGGCAAGACTTCTTTGTGACTGTATAGTGGTGCACCTTCTTAGCCAGGGATCCCTCGAAAAACTTTTATCTCTCGGGACTTCCTGGTTAAATAGAGGTTAAATAAGTAAAATTAAATATTAATGTCCCAGTGAACATCCATACAGAATAAAGACACAAGTAGGAAATAGAGCAGTGCATTAAAGCCGTTTGTTTACATGGACGCTCATCATAGACAGTTTTTCTAATAAATGTAGCAACAAAAGGAAGCAGTAATTATGATAATAAAGTTTAACAAGGGCCAAATATGTGACACAGTATCGTAAATAGAGATATAGTGTGGGCAGGTGGCAGCACACTTGGCGCATTATCATATGTACAAGTTGTATTATTTTAGTCACTGGGTGCATTTGTTAAGAGAAGCTATTACAATGAAGATGAAACATTAAAAACTAAATCCAAGGTGGCGTAAAGTCTTGTCCCGTGACAAAGCAAACTCCTAGAAATACATGAATTCAAACCTTTTTTTAATGATTTAATAACTTAAATAGTGTAATGTGATAACAAATTGTGTTTTTATTACAGTAAAGCGGTTTAGCTGCCAGGCTAAAATCCCCCTGTTGAACACAGATAGTGAGCATCATTGTTAATGTGCTGTAACCTGTACTGTAACTGTGTGTACCTGTCCCCACCCAGCCTCCACGCTCAGCCCACCCCCACGTACGTTTCTCCTGTCTGGACGCTGAGCCCATGGTGATAGACAAGGTGCCCTTCGACAAGTACGAGCTGGAGCCTTCGCCGCTCACACAGTACATTTTGGAGAGGAAATCCCCGCACACCTGCTGGCAGGTACAGCCCCGTCACACAGCAGCACTCGCCGAGGAGGGAATTGAACATGAATGCAGAAATCTGTTATGTTTATGCGCCAAGTTTACACCTGGGCGGTCGAAGATCGTTTTGCAAACATGTCACATACAGTAATGTGTTCACACCCTTCCATTAAAAAAAAGGCAAAATTCACAATAGTCACTCAAATAGCTTGAAACTGAAAAAAGTAATAATAAATAGAAATATGCTAAATTATCATTTAGTGAAATAAGACATTGCTTTTGAATTGTGGTTTAAAAGAATAATTAAAAAAAAAAAAAAAAACTGTCCTGGGCAAACTAGAGCACTTTGCTGATGAGCCAAAATCAAAACACCTGTCAACAGAAGTCTGATTGAGAGTTACAGAAAACACTTGATTGCAGTGATTGACTCAAAGGGTTGTTCAACAAAATATTAGTTTACGGGTCCCATCATGCTTGCTTTTTTTGTTTGTTTTAAAAAAATATATATTTCTGTTGAACCACAGTTCACAAGCAATGTTATGATTTTCATTAAATATTTATTTATTACTACTTTTGTCAATTTCACCTCATTTCAGTGACAGCTGTTTTTTCCTTCTCCAATGGAGGGGTGTGAATACATTTGGAGGACGACTGTACATACTAACAGCAGTGTAGCAGATGCATCATTAGATGGTCAGCACACTGAGACAATATGTGGGATTTCAGTTTGTCACCATTTCAAACACTGATTTAGTCGATTACTTGGAAGAAATATTGGATGACATGTTGAATATTAGCAAGTTAGAAAATGTAACAGGCTTAGCTTCAGCATGTTAAAGACCCCTTTCGATTAAAATCCTTTTTTTTTTTTTGCCTTGTTAACATGTCCATTTGTTGTTCCTTTTTTAGCATTAGTAGACATATTCATGAGTTAAAAGAAGCAGTCAGTGCCATAGTTGAGTATTTCCACTTTGTAACTGCAGTGTACCGATGACGTTCTTAAAAAACACAGATTCAGATCCAAGGCTTAAGACATACCAAACCTAAAAAAATATTCCTGTCAGCTTTTTTGTGTGTCAAAGGAGAAGACGAGTAGAAGAGACATGTTCTGTTTTTGGTTTGAAAGTTGCAAAAGGAGAATTTGTGAGCTTTTATCTGACATCAGCAACACTTCATTCGCTGTCAAGTCAAGGTGAAGGCTTATGTTATCTACTGCTGTTATGCTGCTAATGTCACAGAGAGTCTTTAAAACCATCCTGATAAATCGACTTCTGGTTTCTGGTTCAAACATGTGTGGCTGAAATAGTCCAACAGTGCAGCTTTCCGTTGAGCAGTTTTACAGTGTTTGAGGAGGTGAGCTGGTGTACTCGAGCCGCAGCGAGTAGGTCGGTCTGGGTGGAGAGAGGAGCCGGGATTTCATAGATCCACACCTGCTGGAGTCGGCTAAGCTATTTCAAAGCAGGAAGGGGTTGCTTTCATCTTTTAAATGTGTAACTTTGCTTCACAGAGATCAGTTTTTAAAAGTTTAATCAATGACCAGAGAAGGAATTTAGCATCTGGCAGTTTCTAAAATGTGTGTCATCATTGCTAATTGAAAAGATGTCAACATTGATAGCATTAGCACAGTAGATGAAACCTTTTGATTCAGACCAGACTGTGTCTCCTCTGCTGCCTGTCTCAGATTAAGCTTCTAGCTGTTGTCTTGCTAGTGGAACAATTTTAAAGTAGTAAAGTTATGTCTTTGTTGTTCATTTATCTAACAGTGTTGTTGTCTTGCTGTAGAACAGTTAAAGTAAATCAAAAGATAGTTACAGATTTATGTGGCCATATTGAATGTCTTGAGGTGAAAATATCTGACGTTAAGGCTTCTTTTTAAACTGATATAAAGAGGTTTGAATTACCTGATGCATGGACATGAGCTTAAACTATAGATCTTTTTGACAATTACACCCTAATTAACCAGCACATAGAAAGATCTTATTGAGCCAGTTAACAACAACAACAACAAAAATCTCCTTTTTCCCGCTCATAGAAGAGTTTGAACGTCACTGCTCACCTGTTGGATTTCCTCTGTCTTGTAGGTGTTTGTATGTAACAGTGCCAAGTACAGCGACCTGGGGCAACCCTTCGGCTACCTAAAAGCCAGCACAGCTCTGAACTGCGTCAACTTGTTTGTAATGCCCTACAACTACCCCGTGCTTCTGCCACTTCTGGGTAAGAAATCTTTACCACATCTTGGCATCCTCCATCATCTTTACTGTGTGTGCTGCTGTTGTATCATTACTTGTGGTTATGTGCCTGTATTTTTTTTCCTCCATCCTGCACTTACTTAGCACATGTAATTAAAAGTCTTCATATGCAAGAGTATCGTTAAGTCATTTAGTTCATTATCATTTGGAACAGGCTTGAGAATAACATGTACAATTTCTGTGCTGAATAAAAATAAAACATACAGGAGGCTTTAGTTTATATGCTAAATAACACTAATGTTGTTTCGATCGTTTCCTGCAGACGACTTGATCAAAGTGCACAAATTCAAGCCTACCATCAAATGGCGGCAGTCCTTTGAGAACTACCTGAAGACCATGCCTCCGTATTACATCGGGGTCAGTGAACGCAGCATCACTCTTCAACATGCAACAGCCATAAATGTTTTTGTATTGTTCTTAATGCTGTTTTTGTTTTGGTTTTTTTTTGGTCTACAGTCTCTGAGAAAAGCTCTGAGGATCATGGGAGCACCAAACCTGCTGGCGGACAACATGGAGTATGGCCTGAGCTACAGTGTGGTTTCCTACCTGAAGAAACTCAGTCAGCAGGTTTGTAGTGGAGCTTGTTGGAGCTTATTTTCATGTCGGGGCTTCCTAAAGCGAAAAACGTGTTCTACTAAATGTTGTTTGAGGAACCTTGAAACAACAAGAGGTTTTTTTTTTTATTATTTGATCACGCATTTCTAGATTTTATATCTTAAGATTGCAAATTTCATTCTTTATTTCATTTTCGTAAGATGGTTTAATTAGGAAATGAAGCACTAGTCCAATCTTTTTAGAAAAAAAAAAGATTTTATTTGGATACTTTTTGAAGTATAGTAAAGAAACTAGTGTGGTACTGCCACTTATGCAGAATATAAATATTTAATCATTGGTCTATAATGCACTGTATTGTTATCAGCAACTATAAAGACAATGTTAAATGAGAAGTTGTGAATAATTATCACTTCTTCTATTCTATAAAGACATATTCTATATTATTACACTGAGTTTAACTCTGTTTATACACCAGCCTCAACTTGCACGTACCAGCAGCAGGGGTTGATAAATAGAATAATAATAATAATTAACATATATATTAGATCTTTTATCCAACTACATTATAGTGTGTGTAGTCCGTTTTATATGTTGCTCATATATGGTAGATGCAGGGTGTTACAGTAAACCATTTATGCAGTTTTCTTCTGCATTAAGTAAGACAGTGAATGCAGCAGAAAAGCGTTTTGCTGTAGTTCTGATCTTAAAACTAAATCGGTTCCTTCTTCTAGTCAAAAATCGAGTACGACCGCCTGATTGCCTTGATCGGTAAGAAGCCTCCATCGGAAGCCGGCATCAAGGTGCGATGGCGGGGTGGAGGTATATCTCTGGCCCAGCGCAGGGACTTCATCCAGCAGCTGCAGAGTCTCACCGGAGACGCCCCGGCTCTGCCGCTGGAGCTCAACCCCAAAGAGTTCCAAGGCTTCCACCTGGCGCTGCTTAACAAGGTAAGATGGGATTGTTAAGTACATGTAGTTGTGACTGCACACATCAACAATAACAATAACCCCCTCTGCCCGGTGTGGTCCTCAGGGCTTGAAGCCTCACAGCTTCAGGAATCCCTACGACATCCCCCGCAGCCACCTGCTCGACCAGCTCAGCCGAATGCGTAGAAACCTGCTCAACACCGGCGTCTGCACTCTCAGAGGGCAGGACTCGGGTAACTCACCGTGGAATCCCACACTTGTTTGTTTGTAAATGTGCTCTGTTGTACCTGCAAACATGTTGGTGAATTCCTCCGTCTCCTTTGCAGACCAGCTCCACAGTGTGCCAGTCGCCCAGATGGGAAACTACCAAGACTTCCTCAAAGCTGCTCCTCAGCCTCTTCGAGACGCAGACCCCGAACAGCCCAAACGGTTGCACACATTCGGCAACCCATTCAAACTGGACAAGAAGGTAGATCCATCACACTGATAACACGAGTAACAAATGGAGAAGTACTGGTTGAGAAACATGCAAGTTGACCTCATTCTTGGTTTTCCTTGCAGGGCATGATGATCGACGAGGCGGATGAGTTTGTCACCGGCCCCCAGAATAAGGGCAAGAGACCAGCGGACAGCAGCAACATGACTGGTGGAGGTCCGAAGAGACGCCGCTGCATGTCGCCTCTACTGCGTCTGGGAAGAGCCTACACCCCTCCAGTCACCCCTCCTGCCAGCCCTCGACCCTCAGGTGAGATTGGTATCAAGACTGCACTATGTGTAGTTAAACGTCTTTTCTATTAAAGTGCGAAAAACAGTTTAGCTGCTCAGTTTTCAGTCTTTTTTAAAAAAAAATGTAAATTTTAGCTACATTTCTTGGAACACTTCTACCTTCACATCATACATCATGTGAACACAGCTGTAGACTCTCTGTTATACTGTGATTTTCAAACTACACACAACTTTTTGTTATGAATTCGAGCTGTTCCAACTCAAGTTCTTCAACTTGGAAAATCTTCTCTAAAGTCCTTGACCGAGACATATCTAGGTTGGCAAAATTTGTTTGAGTTTCACCGTATTAGATGTTCTGGAGCTAGTATATGACGTGTGGATGACGTGTGGATGATGTCTGGATGATGTGTGGACATTAACCTTCTTACTAAATCTGACGAACTTCATCCAGATGAAAATGAAGCTTATCAACTAACCAAATTTTACAAAAAAATAACTCACTTCCTTTTCAAATCTCATACACTCTAGACATGGACATGAGCGACGGAGCACCAGATCCGGACCTGATCATCAACCACCTGAATCAGAACCACTACGGCTCAGACGGGAGCTCGGACTCGGAGGTGGATCATCCGTCGGGGCCCGGCGACCTCCAGGAGAACCACACGGCCGCCGATCTGCAGGTCATTCGGCACGGGGACGAGGAGGAGAACGGGCAACCCCAGGCTGGTGAGCTGCCGCTGGGCAGCGAGGGAGGAGCGGAGATGATGCTGATGGAGGACCAGCCGGCGCGCTACCTGTCACCTGCAGCCCTGAAGAAGCACATTCACACCGAGACGACGAAGGTCAACAACGAGCTGAGGGCGCTCATCACCAAGGAGATCAGAAAACCTGGCAGGCGTACGTATCCACACACGGGGGGATACAATCACAGGAGTCACACTGATACTGATGCTGTATATTTTTTGGTCATAGTGTCAATATGGGACCCGACTTTGATTCTATTGATACCAAAGCAAAACATTTTTTACCAGCTTTACTCACACAGTAATTTACAGTAGCACCTGAAACACAGTAAAAAAACTGCGATCAGCTGAATCATCACTTCAACAAAACCTCTACGGTTCTGTGTTTATTGCAGGGCTGTTGAGTTTAATGGCATACCATTAGAAGCTGCCACGGTTATTTTACTCAGACTGTTTTATGTGTTACCAAAAAAAGAAGAAAGAAACTGGCTTGTCCTCCCTCATTGTGTTTTTTTTCCCGCTTTCCCAGAAGAAACCACATAAGTGTAGCCTTTCACATGGCAATCCAGCTTTGTTGTGACCTGAAACAAAGATGTTTTTCTCAAAAGCTGTTGCAAAAACAGCGAACTATGGTTTTAAGTCGGACCAAATGAGTGATATATTCTGCATAATAAGTTGTCGTGCTTCACTCCTATTTATAAAAAAAAAAGAAGGTTGTTTATGTATGATAGCTAATGTTATACAGGAGTTTTGGTGGATTATGTCTACGAATAATGACAATGAAACCCACCAAGTGTCATAAAATTAGGCCTGGTTGTTTTTGTGTAATCTTGCTGACAAACAAACAAACAGCACTGAACACACACCAAGTAAACATCCTGTAATGAAGCAAACCAGAGCTGCTGACAAAAAAAAAAACAATATATGCAGCAATATCAGTATAGCTGTGATGCATTAATAGAAACTTTAATGTAATCATTAGTGGTTTATTCACTAAACAAAGCTTCTCAAATGAGCAGGTTTTTGTTTTTCTGAATTTTTATCTGTTGATCTGACAAAACAAGTGATTCCACCTTGGACTCAATGTGAAGTTTTCATGACTTTCTAGCATAGATTTAATGATAACTCAAATCAGTATAATAAATAATCACTACTTGCAGCCACAACATGACTCACCTTGATCATTGGATATCGTTTACCTTTTTTTTTTTTTTCGTGGTTTTCCACAAACTATAGACAGAATTAGATTAGAAACACAGCAATAATGAAGTAACTGAGCCTTGTTCACTCTTTCTGTTTCAGACTACGAGAAGATCTTCCTCCTCCTGAAGCAGATCCAGGGCACTCTGGACACCCGGCTCATCTTCCTCCAAAACATCATCAAAGAGGCGGCCAGGTACTAAGTTCAGCCTTCCTCTGATGTCATGGCGTTCTATTACTGCCCCGTTTCCTCAAATAGGCTCCAAGTAGAACCATCTGGAGTCGTGGTTAAGAAACAAATTACACATGTTTAACCTAAAGATCCTGTGTTGCTCAACTGTCTTTGCCAGGTTTTTTTTTTTAATAAGTACAGAGCAATTCTTTACCCGAAACATCTGCATTTTATTACCTAAATAAGCGCATGTGATTATGGAAACATTTAAATTTGCTGTTATTGGTCTCAATTGCTTCAGAATGTGACATTTGTCGCTTGTTCTCTGCAAAGGTTCAAGAAGCGAGTTCTCATCGAGCAGCTGGAAAACTTCCTCGAAGAGATCCACAACAGATCCAACAACATGAACCACGTGGACACACTCTGAGACCAACTCATTCCCCAAAACTGAACTTACTGATAAAGAACCCAACGTCCCTCTGAACCCCCGCCCCACCACCCCCCACCCGTCCCTGCTGCACCAGGGCCCCCCCGCAAAGACCAGACAAGACAGCATCCAGCTCTCAAACCATCACCTCTTCAGTGGACTCGACATTATTGGTTGGTTGGCTTACACACAGTAAAGGCGGTACTGACCCTGGGCGATGCATTTTTCAGATTTCCAGAAGAGCGAGCGAGGAAGCATTTACTGCTGCAGGTGAAGTGTTTGCCTATGCAACGAGATGTTCGGCCCGTAGACCATTTGCTCACAGCTGCTGTCTGAACCCGTCCTCGGACTCGGTTATTCTCCTCCCTTGATCAGATTTTTTTTTTTTTTCAAACTAACAAAAGAGTTATTATCTCTCAAACGGGGGGAGTAAACAAGGACTTATTCAGAGATGAGCAAATGGCAGCGTATGTTTGGTTGTGATGTGAAGTCGTGTCGGTGATGGCGTAGGAAGGGGTCAGCTTGTGAGAGGTTGTGTGTGTGTTTTTCAACAACTCAGGGTCGAACGGGATCCAGCGGAGACGTTCATGAAACACTTTTCTCCCCTCATGCCTTTTCATTCAGTCACTTTTCCCGTCACGTTAGGTCTTATACCTTTTTTTTTTTTTTGCCGCTTTGGGATACGGGAGGATGAGAGTCTGTGGTTTTTTTGTTAAAATTTACACTCCACTAACCGGAGCACTCCACTGCTGTGCTCTTTAATAGGTATAATGTGGCTCCAATATTGAATTTGTCAACTCGTGGCCTGACTGATCATTAATATAACTAAGTAGAAACTTAAGTGTACGACAAAGCAAATGACTTTTGCTTCCTCTGGGGGGTGGGGGAAATGGAGCCACAGTTTTTCACCTCTGGAGACGGTAAACTTAAAAAGTCTGTGTCCAGCAGGTTTTCAGACAGATCAAGTAAAAACCCCCTGAATGATGTGAGATCATTGGTTACTAATGTTGAAATACAGGGACAAAAAAAGCTCAGGAACTGACACCAATGCATCAAAATCAGCAATAACATTGGAGCACACCCCTCCCCGACTTTTATCTTTATTTCAGCCCGAAGCAGCTGATATGCAACGCAAACGGTTGTCTGCTGGAGTGTCGATGAACCGAGGTCTCGGATGCCAGCTTGTCCCAACGTGCTGGTTGCTGCCAAATAACTTAACCCGCCCCCCTAAACTCCCTCTCTCCGCCGTGAATCTCAAACCAACTTCTTGTCACTTAACCGTAAATGCACTTGTGTAAATTTGAGAATGTTTATTTAATGTAATTTAAAAAGAAAAAATATGTTTTGTTGCAAATTTCCCTCCTTTTTTTGGGGGGGGGGAGTCAGGCTATATATTCTCAAATGTACACAAATAAACCCAAATTAGGGTCTAGAGGGCAAGAGTTGATTTCTGATTCAGAGCCCTCTTCCGTTCCCTCCCTCCTTGGACAGGGACCAAAATCTGCCATACTTGTCTTTGTTTGTGAAGAGGCCGCTACCAAAAGAGTATTTTGAATACACTGTAAAGATGTAAATAACCCTAGAGTACTATTTAAAGAGAATGTTCAGTGGAAAATGGCCTTTTTGTAAGTATTTCCATGAATAAAATTTCTATTTTACACTGTGAAGGGCCATGTAAATAAAGTGTTCTTTAAAGATGTGACTCTTGGTGTTTTTGTCCACATTTGTCGACGATGGTGACCAACAGCGTGTCAGACAGAAGAAAGGATCAAAACACCTGATGTGTAAAAACGTATTAAAATTTTATTTACAGATATGTACAAAAATAATGTCCCTCTTCCTGAAGTGTCCGTGGACCCTCCTTTTGGTCCACAAATAAATACCAGTAAGTGAAATGGGTTGGTATAGAAGTGTGTGAATGTGTGTGTAGGGGGGTGTTTGGGTATAAGAGCCTTTAGGGAGCTTGGTCTGCTGGATTCATCACTCGGCCCATAAACAAGATGGATCCTGAAATGAAACACAAAGCAAAAGCTGATTTTTTTTTTTAAAAATGCAGGCATCTATCTATGTTTTAACATGTTTTTATTTGCTGTATAAGTTAAGGTGAAATTCAGTGTGGTCTGTGTTGGTTCATGCGACTGCTGATCTGTGTCTGCTTTTGATACTACCACTAGGGGTGGCCAAATCAGAAATATTCAAATCCTACATGTGTACTTGACTTGAAGTTATGCAAACAGACACTGAATAGAAATCAGGATGCTTTCTTTTTTTTCTACCTTCCAGACAGCTACTGGTTTAAGAACATTTCTTTATGGTATGAAAATAATGAAATGAACATCATAGCTTCCTAAATGTCAAGCTGGGTATAAACCAGAATTAATTAATTAATCTCTTGATACTTTTTGACTTCCTTTCCAAGCCTCTTTTATAAACGTCTCAGAGATATTTACAGACTGATGACAAATTAAAGGAAAAACCTGAACTCTTGACCCCTACAGCAAGGAGATCTGGATCCACTTTAGACGTATTAGTCACTACAAATCAATACAAAGCTGTTCTTCGTGATCACCTTTATCCTCTGATGAAACATTTCTATCCTGATGAGAGTGGTCTCTTCCAGGATGACAACACTCCCTTGTCAGATTTTGGACCAGTGTTCTCAACCACCAACATCAAAACACCAAATGAGGGAATATCCTTTGGAAGACAGGCCTTCTATTCCTCCAGAGACTTAAAGAATCAATGCTAAGATACACTGAAGCTGTTCTAGCAGCGTGCAGTGGCCAAACATCTGACTAAGACACTTCATGTTTGCTTTTCCTTTAATGTGTCACCCAGCTTTGCTATAGTAACTCAAGCTCAGTCATTCCTTGTCACACTAACAGGTTTTTAGCAAATACTTCTTAAGAGGAGTACGTTTGTTGGAGACTATTTTTAGCAGTAATTTACCACACATTTATGCTCCAGTAAATATTTCTGGCAGCAGTATGGTGTTTGTGTGATCAGTGCAGTTTGTGTTTGACGTTGCAACTTATTCAAATATCTACTTATTTTCATACAAAACCTGTGGCTGTCTGGAATTGTGTTATATTTCTTTTTCTTTTTAAATGTCAATGCCAATGTCACTTGCAAAACTGTCAGTTGTGTGTGCTTTGCTAAGCTAAATCAAGCAAAACATTTGTATGATGTAAGCAGCAGCAATCTACAGAGTAAAGCAAATACCTGTGTTAACCTGTCGAAGTAAAAATAAGAACGGCCGATCCGCCTTGAAGACAGGAGCACGGGATCTTTTGAGTAGCACCATAGCTGCAAGAACAAAAATTCCTTGTTTAACAACCTTCCACCACAGACAGTCAGCTCTGTTCTGTTATATACTTGCAGCAGACATTGCTCACCAGTAGCAGCAGCTGCTTTTGTCCCATCCTCTGTGACTTCTATTCTTACTTCATGGAAGGCATCAGACACATAAAGACCCTCCTCCACTGCAGGAAACAAAAATCTGTCAGCTACAGAAATCGCTTGACCTGCAACCTGAAAAGCCTGGACTGCGACTAAAACCGACTGATATTTTGAATGTTTTATGAATTGATGGACTCACCTGAAATCCCAGTGAAGTCAGCTGCTGTCGGGTTGAAGGCGTCACTGATGCCCATAGCAGGGAGCACTGACCTCAGGTTGAACTTGTTCTGCATCCTGAATCTGTAAAAAAAACACCGTAGAGTTTGTTCTGCATCATCATCTTTTCTGAAGCGTCTAAAAGTCTTAACTCAACCTGAAATCCAGATGTAGGATTTTTATTTTTTTTTTACCTGGGTAGGAAAATGTCCATTTTGGTTCTGCGCAGGCCAGTATCCCAGGATGCCAGATGGCGTGCAGTGAGCTGGGACTCGAGGGAGGACAGCGGAGTCTTCCTCTCGCTGGGCAGAACCACCTGCAGGCTCAGGGAGCGGCCCAGGAACGGCAGCTCCAGCACAGTGTAGCGTTGGTCGGATCCTGTCCTGAACTGACCTGCAGGGAGACCAACACGTTCAGGTGTGCAATTTATGACTTTTTCCTCTGATTTATTAATCATTAGGTTTTTTTGTTTATCCATCTGATTTTACAAACATGTTTTTAAAGCTTAATAACTTTCAAACATCACAGAACCATGTTCATTGGCTTAAATTAAAGATAACACTTGTACCATTCAAATGTATCAACATAAATGATTTCTACTTTTATCATTTCAAAATGTAAAACATGTATTTAGCAAAACTTTTAAAAAATATATATATATACAATTAGACAGCAAACGTTTTTATTGCTGCTGTGATAATAAATGACGCCTGAATGGCACAAGGTTGTAATAAAAATAGAATGGGGAGTTGAAAGATAAGATTACAACAATACAATTATACATTTCTAATTACTTATGAGTTTCTAATAATACTGAGAGCTGCATATGTATGACAGAGACATTGATTAATGAGGAATTTGATTCACGTGTAAACAGACTGTAGAAGTCAGCATCCACATAACAGGAGGAGCTGCAGAATATATAATGCCAAACAAAGAAACAGTGTCCAATCACACCTTAAATGCATAATGTCTCATCAACCAGGGAAATGACTGAACAAATAACTCTTGATTAGAACTGTCACTGATAAAGTTTCTTGGATAACAATCTCACAAAAGTGTAAATACTTCAAGAGTCCCACGTTTTTTTAGATATACTTTGGTAAATTCCAGTACTTTTTTGTATTATAAAGCTACAGAAAGAATACCAACAAAGCTCAGTAAAATTTTATCAACTGACCAACACAGACATATCGCCACGTAAATCTGGAGCTGTTAAACGGTCTGCTGTATTTACCAGCCAGTCACTAACTAGATCTGTCTCCTATTGGAAGATGAGCAAATAGTGTTTAGTGGGCTCTGCTGAAAACAGCCACCTGCTACATCTGGAAATGAATTGAATGAGAGAGCTAAGATCCAAAACAGTTAAGTGGTTTGCTGAAGCTAAAATCCTGCACAGAGCCCAAGGTAACTTCTGAAGGGGTCACTAGAAGAGAAAGCCAACAAAGTCTCATATAGCCAGAAATATCTCCAAAGCACCGTGTCAGCGCTGGAGAAGGGTTTGGCTGCACCTCATCATCATTCTGCTACAGGGTAAAGAAACACTCTGGCTTGTTTGTGTGTATTTAAACCAGAGTGCAGCAGTGGAACTCCTGCAAAACTGTGTTGGGGGAACTTGTTTTGGTAGAACATTTGCACACAGGGAGGTGAGCCCTGAATTCTAAATGAACTATTCACCATAGGAACTACCAGGCCTGCCTTATGGCACGAGCCAAAGTTTTGCCCAAACTCAGCTCCTTGGGAGGTCGTTTTTATTGTTTTCCGTAGTGATTGGGTTTCAAAAATGGTAACATACAGAGAGTGGAAGGGGAGGACAATGCTGCATGTAATATCCAGCAGAAATGACTTCAAGTTAGTCAGATTAACTGCAAAATTACACAAAGCCATATACATTGTTAAAATAAGATCACTGAATTTAGTAGCTTAAAAAGTTCCTTCTAAGTATGTCCTAGGAGCACATCCACAGACTAACAGAAGATGGATGGATAAAAGAATGGACTCGTGTCTCTTACCAAAGCTGACCTCTGCAGCCTGATACATCATGGGCACCTTGATAGGACTCCCATCAGAGAGGATGAAGGGCAGGTTCTGTGTGTTGGTGAACAGAAACTGTTTCTGCCAGACGCCCCTGAAGGCCACCGTGTTGACCAGGGCCACCTGCAGCCGGTTTCCCCACCACAGGGCCTCTGCCTGGGCCTCGCCTGAGCCAGAGAGCTCACCGCTGCTGCTTCCTGACTGGAGGGGCCATGACTCATCTGGGAGGTAACAAGTAAACGTCTGGGTTTAATGTAAAGGGCGTGTGGCTCCGTTATTGACGACTGACTCATGTGGTCCGGTGCAATGAACAGATGAAAAGCAAATTGTACATTTCTGTAAATACAACATTGGATAATTGTAACACATCTATAGAAACAACTGCAATTGATACAATGACATGTAGTCGTGAGTACACACTCAAAATATAAGTCAGTATTCAAACATCCTGGTTTATCAACATTGGGGAGCCTTTTGTATAGGGTGGCAAGGTAATAAACATGATAAGAAAACTGTAAAAGAAGTATTTCCTCAACATATAATACAAAATACAGTGAGGTAAAAACACTCTTTGCTGAGTTGGTCACAAGCTGTAGACACACTTAACATTGAGTTTCAAATAGGTTTTGCCTCATGTAAAGGGTCACAAGCTAAAACTGGCTGGAAACCAGTGGCCTAAGAATTAAAATTAGGGACATTTAAGCTGCAATAACTAAAATGACCTCCACAAGTTAAAATATTACCACTCGATAAGGTTTTTATAGCTGAGTTGTTAGGAAACCATTGCCTAGTTACACATTCAGCAGAAACAGAGCCATCATCATCATCATCATCATCATCCCACTGGGGCCTAATTTTAGCTCTATGTGTCTCTTTAGCTGCATTCATTGTTCTTCACCAACTATTCTCATACTCTGTCTGCTTGCTGTTTAATGCTGCACAGTCATGTACAAGGGATTTATTTCAATTTGGCTGTACAAAAACAGTGCCTGCTGCAGACTGAGTCGTACAGTAAATGCTCATTAAACCAGAGCAAACACCTTAAAGAAGCTAAAAAGCTAAAAGCTGTATTCATTTCAATCAAAAATGATTACTATTTGATCTTTAAGTGTTTTGTACAGCTGTTTGGATTACCGTGGTTGTGTCCTGCTTGCTCTGGTTGGCTGCGGGAGTGATTGGGCTGGCTGAAGTTGGCTCGGACCACGCTGGTATTGGCCCAGGCTGCTGCATTCTGTGTGAACTCAGACAGGAGCTGGACACCACTCTGGATGAATAACGTGCAGGTCTGCTGCAGCCACATTCCCTGGCTGGTGTTGCTCATGTCGCCCTGGGAGTGCAGCAGGAAGTCTTGTACCTGGGCATCTGCAGAAAAGGAACACACAGAGGACAGTTCAGACCTGATGGTGTATTCCAAGCTGTGGGACGCTTATTTAAAGACAAGGTTTTAGTTTGAACTTTCTTCTTTCTGTATAAGACAGTCTGTGCACAAAAGAATGATGTTCCCTCCATAGATCTATAGAAAACTGAAATACTGAAAAATGCTTATTTTAAACTCGTTTAACAGCAGTTTCAGAATCTATCTATTACATACTCTGCTTTAACATCATCACTGTTGCTAAAATATAATTCACACCCTGTTGAAAAACTGCAAGAAAATATATTGTGAAGCCCCTGAGATAAAATAATAAAAATCCAATATATTCAGTTCAACAGCCTCTAGCTTGTTTCAGCAGCAAGTTAACTGAATTCACACCATATCCCTGCAGAACTGTACACAAACAAATACTCATTTGACTTGATTTGAGCTTTGCTTAGCAACTTCTCTCAGTCTGGTGAGCACGACAGGCCACAGGGATCTTCTCATCTGATAAGCTCCAAGCATTTTTAGACAAAATGATCAAAACACAAATCAAATAAGGATTCTCTTATGACTGCAAAAATTTGCAGCAGTTAATACGAACAGAGGCAGTCAATTGTAAGCTGGTCCCTTGTCACGCTTTAATTTAATTTAATCTTCTTTCTCTTGTTGCTGTTATTGTGGCTTCTTACTTGGTTTTGAGTAGGAGATAGATATGTAATTTTTTGTCTTCTGTGCCCATCTTATCTATCTCGATATCTTTGCATCTAGAGTCACTGCACTCTTTATTATCCTGCCTAGAGAGTACAATGCTCAGAGGTGCAGCCCTCTGTCTCTAGCTGTAATTTTGCGCTGTTAAAATTTAGTTGAAAAAATAATATGCTGTTTTTCTTCTAAGTTCCTTATGTTTTCTTACTGATCGGTTAGTTTTTTTCAAAGTGTGCATACACTGATATAAAACGCTTATTCACTTGTATTATTTCTTAGTATATGTAAGTCATTTGTCTAATAACAAACCAGAGAAAAGCAGTGATTGTCCAAAATATATACGTAAATCATGACTACACCGTGGGATTTCAACCATAAGGTGGCGTCTATTCTATGCAGCGGCACCAAACTTGACAAAACAGATTGACCCTCATTTGGTTTTATTAATATAAAATGACATGAGTTTGGAAGTATTAGTCATGTAATCAATTATTGGATCATTCAAGCCATTTTTTATTGACAAATGGCACACACTTGGTTGTTCCAGTTTCTCAAATGTAAGAATTTTCAATGTTTGCTGTTTTACATCAACATATATTGAATAGTTGTGATTTTTTAAACTGTTAGGCTCACAGAAATCTCTAACATTGTGTAGACAAGACACTTGATAGCATGATTTCGAAGTTCCAGCTCAGGCTAGTTTGAAATTAAAGTCAGACACAAAAGTCTGAGGCAGCCTGCTAAATAGGAGCCTAATATCTTCAATTTCCATCACCTGACAAGTGAGACCACATCTTGGAGGCAAAGGAAACAGCAGCTCACACTCTCATTTTGTTTGTAATTAAACACATGACCTCTTGACCCGAAGGCCAAGCTGCAGGAGTGGTTAATGAGATTAGAGTTGGTGTGGAGGCAGGTATTATGGCTCCAGACACCGCTGTGCTCTGCAGGGCCAACAACAGCAGCAGCAGCAGCACCGCTCCACACCACCTGGTACCAACAGCACTGAGGGCCACCGACAACCTCTCCAGAATCACTCGCACAGCATAAGGAGCCACTAATGCTAACTGAATACAAGCTTCCCTCTCCTTCATCACTATATTTGTAAAAAAAAAAAAAAAAAATTTAGATGAATCCTACCATTCACATTGTATCCCAGAGTTCCCTCCAGCTGAGCCAGCGTGTTGCCTCTGGCACCGAGCTGCAGCAGCGCCAGAGACAAGGAGACGCTCGCCGGTGACATGATTAGGTTGGAGTTGTTCTCCGTCTCTGTGAGCGTCTGGTAGAGGCTGACGGCAAACCTGCTGTGCAACTCTCTCATGTTGTCCTGAAGGCTGCCGTTACAGTGGCTTCTCTCCACCAACCAGAAGCAAATGAAGAGTGAAGCCACTGGCAGACGACACATGTCCTCAGTGCTGCAGGAGAGGAAGTGTCCACAGGGTGCAACAGGTGGCCCAAAACAAAAAATCCTGCAAAATCAAAGCAAATGAAATAAATATGAAAGTGGGGTCAGTGAGGTCATCTATAGACTTTCTGTGATTTGTTTCATGTTTAACATATTGTACACCAGAGAGTACAAGTATTCTCTTTGCAAATAATATTCTACATTTGTAAAATATATTTGGGCATAGTTTTGTATAAAAAAAAAAAATCAGCAATTACATTAAGTAGTTGAAACTAGCTGCAAGTTGACCAGCTGCAACATTAAAATGATTCTCACATGTAAATGCATAATTAACCCAGTCAGATTATATTAATGAAACACTTGCAATGGTCATGCTTTCTGCATAATTACTACTTAACATGCCATGCTTTGTGTTTTTACATGCTACAGTGTGATTTTAAATGCATGTCCTGACTGATTAATCCCTACAAACTTGAGTAACACCAATGAGAATCATTAGCTACACCTTTTGATGACTTAATAAACTACTGTGATGATTTCTTAGTGACATAAGCAGAGGTGCAGCTGTGTGTCCTACCAGTGAACAGGTGAGGTAGAATCCGTTAAACAGCTGTTCGCTCTGACTTGCAGCAACCATTCAGCCTCAGCAGGGGAAGCTGTGTCCTGTCCGTCCCCGGCCTGTCCGTCACTGTTCCCGGCGTCCGAGTCAGTCAGTCTCTGGTTCAGTCCTCCGGTCGTCTCTCACTGAAGCAGCCTGTAGTCATAAGACCGTGTTTAAAGGGGAACGCTCCGCTCCGTGTTTGCGGTCTCCGTCGGCGATGTCCGTACCACTCGTCCGGGATTCCTGCCTCCCCGGGGCTATAAGGAGCCAGGCGGAGGGAGGCATGTCACCGACCAGCAAATCCCAAACCGGGCAGAGGGGAGAAAACACCCACACACGCGCGCACAGCACAGAAGGGCAGACATGCGTGTACATTTTCTGGAAATATAGTTATTTAGTCAGTGGGAACAATAATAGCACGTAAAACACATTTAGCTTAAACAAACAAACAAAACAACAACAACACAGAATTGAAGAAGTAGCTACCTGAATTATTGCTAATATCATTATGTAGGAAGTCAAAATATTATAGCAGCCTACCTGAATCCTTAGACTTAAGAACAGTTGAGTATTCTGGGGTATAAAAGTCACATTTCTAGTTATATATTAGATACGAACTTTTAATAGGTACCTCTCATACTGGTCTGCTAAATATTAAGCTAACGTTAGCTAACGTTTAGCTTAGCTTAGCATAAAGAATGGAAACATGCAAACGGCTAGCCTGGCTGTCCAAACCTAACAGCAGGCGTCTACCAGCAACTCTTAAGCTCGCTAATTATCACGTTTTTGTAGGGGTTAAAAAACATAAACCAACAGGTAGTGGGTCTGTGTCTTTGGTAGCACAACAGTAACTTCCGGGTGTGTCTTAGTCGCTATTACGTTGCCAAGCAACCAGCGACTAATTAATGCTGTACCCAAAACACACCTGTAATTTTAATTTGCACTTTTTTTGTTTGCTTTGTACAACTCAACTAACCCAACCGGACACACACATTGAAACAAATACGTTTTAAATTGGACAGGGCCAGGCTAACTATTTTTCCAGGCATTTCCAGCTAATACTACAAACCTACAGATTTATATTTTGGCCACCGGTTTTAATTATTTCAATTTCATTTCTGTTGTGTTCGCCTTTTTTGTTTGCTTGTTTTTTTGCACGGTGGATGCCTGTAGTCCTACAATGCCCATGAGCCCCTGCTGCGGTTGCCATGACAAGAAGGCAGTTAGAAGCGCGAAACAGGCCGGAAGCAAGAAATTCACCCTTTTTAAAAAACGTTAATAAACTTTTTAATTTTTTTAATTTTTTATTTGAATAGATAAATTGGTAAATATATGTAAAGCTAAATTAAAGTATAAAAAAGTGAGGGCGGGGGAAACATATAAATAAATAGAAAGTGACTAAAGCATAACACTAAAATGAGAGCCCAGTCTTGATTTTTTGTTTTCAGCTACAATTATTTTATGAATAAAAAAAGATCCATTTGTTTCTTGGAAACATGAAAGTAACATTTTGTTTTATCAGGTTGACATTTATAAAAATGATAATATAAAAAGCTTTTTTTTTCTTTCTTTCTTTTTTACAGTTCAGAACAAATCTGTGGTTGCTGATTTTACGAACAATCCATCCACATTGTAAAAGTAAACGGATTTAAAATGCAAATAGTGTATTTTTTTTGTTTTGTTTTGTTTTCTCAATGGTGTTATTTTTAGCATTCACTCACAATGGGCAGCTTGGAATCAGTAGTTAAGGGGTACATCTGAGTTTGTATGTAGGCTACATATGCTCATAGGATACCTTTTACTGTGAGTCAAAGAACCAGATATTTAGCAATTTATTTTTTTGTGTGTTTTGATTATTTACCCAAGGCAGTTTTGAGCTAGTCCAAAAGGTGCTTTAACCATGGCTCACATGCCTTAGTGTAAAGGAAAAATAAATGGGACTTTTAATTCTGGAAACGGATGGCACCCAAAATAAAGCTTCCTGATTTCATAACACTATTTAGAGAGGTAGAAATGGTTTTATTGCAATTTGTCCAAGTGTGATATTGTGGTACTGCAAAAAATATTTTTTCCTATAATTGCAAATATTGTCAATTATCATTGTCATGAAGGTTTCATGTTTTGGTTTTTTTTGTTTTTTTTAAAAAACATTCTTAGAACATAGTGATGCTATTTTTATGTGACTGATGCATCCCCATGTAAAGCCTATGGGATGAGCAGGAATGCACGAGGGGGCTAGCTAAAAAAAATACTAATACACATTAACAGTGGGCTGCACAACCCAAAAACTAGTAAACTTTGTGGTTGACTTTTGTGTGGGATCTAGTTCCTAAACTGCATTTATTATAGAGCCATGAGACTGGTTTCATCTCAGCATCTCATCTAGCTCTCACCCACACAGCAGACACATATATTTCCCTGAAGGTTGATCCTCTTTCCTTCAGTAAAGATCATATTTATGAGTCAGACATTTGCAGCTGTGATTTACTATGTCATAATTGTGCTTAAGCTGCCACATTAGTAGCTCTGTAACTTAAATTATTGCTGATGTGTGTCTGTCTCATTTCCAATTTAGATTCCGAAACATCTGATTTAATGCCAAATGAGCAGGATTAGCAACTTCCACAGCACCCCAGGCCATTCAAATTGATAACACTTAGTTTATTGTGTAGGTGATTTTTTACATTTTTTTGGCAGTATGCACTGAAAGCACAAAATGATCTCAAATGAATGTTGCTTTAAGTCCAGTCTTGCATCATAACCCATTTGATCCACCAGTTTTGTAGATTGTAACCTCAGTTAAAATTCATAAGGTGCGTATTTTTTAAAGACATTCCCTCAACACAGAGACTAGTGAGGACCTGCAAACATTTTTTACTTTTTTACCCCTTGTGCACTTAGTGAATTAGCACGACCATGGAAAAAGCTGCTGTTCATTTTTTATTTTTGTATTTATCGCTTTCAACTTAATGTATTGTCCTTGGACTCTGACTTGAAATAAAGCAGGATGACTAAAGATGTAGTAAAGTAATGCTTTTTTTTTTTTAAGGTCACACACATGTAGAGAAAGACACTAAGACATCCATTCTGTTATACAAGTCATTTGGCCTTTTGTTGTGATGATCAAAAGACATCTCTGCTCTGAGCGTCACACTGCTGCGTCAGTCGTTCTAATTGGTATCACTCTGAGGAATGTGGACTCACTCATCATGGACGTGTCGCTGCTCCAAAATGTGATGAATAGCAGACAGCCATCAGGAAACACTGTACCAGTGCTGTATACAGTCGTAAAAAAAAAAGGCATTTAGACACATCAAAAAGTCAGGTTAGCCTCACTCAGACATGCAATAGTGCACATTTCTGCATATTTTCATGAGCAAGACTAATCATGGCATGACTATATCTGTTTAAATGTTAATCAAGTTGAAGATAAAATGCTTTTGCGTAAGTAACATGAGGTTTGTTAGTATAGCAACTCTATGCATGGAGTTCTGTGACGCTGCACTATATGAAAAAAATGACACTAGTTTTGCAGATTTTTAACCTTAAACCAACGTAAACAACTTCAATGTTTGAAATTTGTTGGACGATTGAGGACAAACTATCATCAGGTCACAGAAAACCATCCAGCACCTCATTATTTTTAACTCAAATCTACAAATGCCATCTTTATGGTGGCTCCAAAGGAAAAATCTAAAAACAGAACAGAGAGGAAATGATAAGTGTCAAATAGCCTCGCAGTGAAAGACTAGACTTGAGTCTTTGAATATCAATACATTTTAAAGCAATTACACAGATACAGCTTTACTGAGTGTGCCACTAAATCTGTCATTATCAGCTCTTCACAGCTCTTTGTAGAGAGGAAACAGAGTAAATGAAGGAACTTTCATCTTATTCAGCTTTACTTCAGGGGAAAATCCAGACATCCTTGCATACAGTAGCTCTGCAGTACAGACTATAAACACTCATCTCAAAATTATTATATAAACAACCTATATGCTGATCTTTAAAGACAAAAAAACATAAAGAATTTCAATAGTATGCCCTCTATTTCACCTAAAATCAATCTGCTGTGGAGTGATCTCCCCCTCAACTGTCCCTCCTAATTGGGGACATGACAGTCAGCAAAATAAATTGCGGGTATTTTTCCCATGAAGGAGAGAGCATGATTGGTAGCCATCAGGTATTTGGGTGCTTTGTCTTTCGGGGGGGATTCCAGCCATTACTGGACTTGACTAATTAGTGCAGCCGTGGCTTGGCTTCATTAAACGGAGTCGCCACATTCTTTAAAACCCAACGCTCCGACTCCCAAGGCAGGAATTTGGAATTTTAAGGACTTTGTTGGAGGAGATGAGATGTCACGGTAACTGACCAAAGACAATCATCTGAAAAGACGCCA